CAGCCACAGCATGAGGCACTCACAATTACATACGTATATACACTCCTACACCAACATTCACTGTTACGGTAAACAGGTAGTAATTTTGTACATGTTTGCTCACACTTTATCTCACACTGAGAATGTCTGCAAAGACTTGCTTAAATTGGTCCAGAATAAAACGCTACTTTATTTTATTTATTTAATGCAGTTTAAAAGAGTTATAATCTCCGCAGAGTGCGGCGTGTAAACCTGGTTCTAGGCTCAGCAGATAATCCGGAGTTAATTACGCAGCAGGCGGCCAACAAGCATCAGTAATAGCCGGTCCGCACTTTCCAGAGGGAATTATACTTGCATCCATCTCTAACGTAGCGCATGCAGCCGTCGTTGTTAGGCCAAGCACCATTTACCGCCTTGTAATGGAATTGTGTTTTCGCACAAGCAAAGTTTGGAACCCTGAGAGACTAGAGGCTGAAAAGAAATGTATTTTCGAAAAGCTGCAAGGGTACGGTTACCCAACTCCGCTCACCAAAAAGCAAGCAACGCTCTGTGATTGCCGTGAAGTTCCTAAGAAGGATGCGTTTCTGAGCTTCTCCTTCAAAGTAGACATTACCTTCAATTTTCTGAACAGTAGGCATTCTATTGCGGCAGCCCGAACTTCATAACTGCGTACGTCAAGTTAATTGCCGAAACCGCTCTGTTTAAGCTCAAAGACTCAAGAACAGATTTCTGGTCCAGTCCGAATCATAAATTGTATACCTACTTCATTGTGCCATTGGTGTAGGGAACGTCGAAAACTCCAACATGCGCTTGGATTGCGGAGTACTATTAAATGACGTTGTGAAAGCCACTGTGTCAGCTGCATGAAGAGATCTAACCTAAAACACTTGGTCCAGTTAGAAGTGTTGATGCTTTCAAAGTATTTTATACCGTTCAAACATTTTGACCCTAAGGTCTAAGGAAATGAATCTTACGGAAGGCCGGACCCAAGGTGATCAGGTTAAGACAACCTGAATTGTGTACCTAGGGGTCACTCGTGCAAGCGCTCCTCCTAAAATGGAATTAACGTAATTGCAGACACTTTCCTCATTACACATGGACAGTGATTGAGCGATTAGTTTATCACCTCATCAGGCAGTCAACATGTGCTCTGTGTGTGTGCTTGTGCAAGCTTAAACAAATAAATAAATAAATAAATGTGTATATTTACCGACGGACGGTACACGGCCCCATAAGTGGGTTTATTGTGACAAATGTCGCCCGAAAGATAGACCAACATATGCAGTAAGACGGTTAAATTTCTGCTACGTTATTCTACCGATTCCTATCCTGCATCACCAGTCTATTGTGTCCCAAAGTTTTACTTGTAATTGTAAATGCCTGCATAGATTCGCCGGAAATATTGCTTTGCGGAACATTACGTCCCTCGCCTGAAGCTTTTGATTCGGAAGTAAAGCGTCGTGCATTCAACAAACATATCAATCGGTCTGTCACCATGTCTTTGTAAATGATTGCGTTCTTACATTTTTTATCTCTATGTTGAAAAAAGAATTTTCGGTTTGCACGCGCAGTGCACGTTGAGTGATGTTGATATTCACCCGGAATCACCAGATTCAGTCGCCATAAACATCACTGAACCGTTAACTCAGTTATCACAACAATGCTTGTAGTAATATTCCATAGTGAGGAACAATGTAATAGTCACTGTCATTGACAAGACGGGAAATCGCGCAAAATCCAATTGGTCGATAATCGGTGCTATTCATAGTTATGAAGGGCATTCTCACAGAGGTGCTCGTGGGACATCTTGAGCGTAAAATTATTGTTTTACAGAAGCCCACGGTTGGTAGGCTACATTTGGAATCATTGCGCGATTCCGTTAAAACCGTAAGTGTTTCTCTTTTTCAAAGCTTTTGAGCTTTCGCTTCTGCAATGGTAGCTCTGGTGACCCAACAGCATTAATCAAACACCCGTAATTTGTCCGTCATAAATCAATTCACACAGACCACGCAGATGACCTTAAAACACCATTCGCAGCAGACATCCAGCAGGGATGACATGTGATATTCTCCTATGCATTTGCAACCGCCTTTCAGGGACTTTGGCTGTGATCATATATGATACCCACATGGGCGCATATCATGAACAGCTTGGGATCAGTGACTAACTGATATTCAGTCATATGCATATCAAGCATACGTAGCTACCATTCGCGACCCAACAGTAACTGCACAATGGTGTTTTTTGACTACTTTCTTTGAGAAGGATTGTAGCCTCCGCTTCAACATTCATTCGGTTTCGATCATTTTGATCTTCTGATTTCCTCTTACGAACCTATCCGTCAATTTCTAAAGAAGTATATCCATTTCATTCAAATCAAATTCCCCGCCTCTTATCTTATCAAACGCAGGTTTGCTGTTATTGGGCATCTCATGAGTTATCGGTCATCAAACGGGTCTCCCCCACTACGTAAAAAGAGCTTCATAATTCTCACGACTATTTTACCATTAAAATCCAGGTATCTCACTGGCGGCTTACGGTCATTGCCTCGGTTTTTCAATGCCAGGCTATACATCGAGTACAAGTTAGCTAGAGCAGAGTTGCGAATACCAAATACGTTGGTGTACATACTGTCTTTGAACTGAGTTATTCTGCGCGTTCGTATAGACCAGTGGTCACCAAACTACGGCCCGCGGGACGGCTCCGGCCTGCCGACTGTACCCGAATTTGCTTAATAAATCTAGGTAACACGAGAAACTGTGATACAAGTTACACTTGACACTGCATGTCACATTGTCAGTGACCTTACTCATCTCGAGGTTGTTACATGTGACCCCATATTACCATGCGATTTTAGTGACTCCACATCGTTGGCATATGGATGTGAGTGGACACTCGTGAAACCCACTCATTTGTGCACCCTACAGTCTTTTAGTTTTCGTCACAACGTTTTGCCACAATATTGAGATTGGTCCATTTACTTGAAGGAAGCGACATATAAATTCACACTACTTTATGCGTGCGTCCTTTAGAGTTTTAAATAGAAGGAATTGCAGGTTGACATTACGTAATTGTGCTGAAAGCGCAAATTGTTAAGGTTCATAGATTTTGGTAGTACTAAATGCATCTTCCCTAATGTCCCCTGCTCCTCAGCTTTTCCGATGTTTCAATCGTTTTTTATCATGTTTGTATTTCAACACAATTTTCTTGTTCACATCCCATTTATTTCAACATCTACTCAAGCTACTAAGAAAAGAAAATCGCGTGACTTGCCGTGTTTCAGCTGTTTTTTATCAGTTTCCATTCTGGCTCGCGACTATTTTGCATAATGAGTACGCAGCCTACGCTAACCATTTTATTAGTCATTCGGCCAGCGTTAGTCCTTTTCCCGTAATCCCCCCACGCCAATCAATGTTACTAGTTATCCAGCCTACCGTAATAGGTGTTTGGTGACCCCTGGTCTAGATAGATGCAAGAGCAGTTAGCCGGAAGTGATTGTCTAGTACGCTTCCGGGCAAGCCTAATCAATTAAGTTACATCAGCAACAACTATATAGTAATTGATTTCGACCGTTGTACATAGATCATCAGGGGCAGCTTATCGGGTGTGTGCGTAAACGCCACTCCGTTCTTGTGTTAAAATGGATCAGGGAACTGGGAAATCAAGTTATCTAACTGGTCGTTTCGGTCTGACTTAGCAGTAGGACAGTGGATAGTTACACGCCTGATTTAAAACAGATGCGTCAAAAATCGCTTACCCCGCTGGTTGTTATCAATGCAGAGTTTAACACACGGGTTACTTCCGAAAAGCAATGCTTCCTGACTCACCAATCTTTGTTTTTGTAAGGAGTCTTACCATGCACCATGGGTGGCATGATTTGCAACAGCCACACACGCACACACACACACACACACACACACAGAGTTTTGTCTACGCGAAATATATTCAGTATGCACACCGTGACGAACTTGCTTTTTCCCAATCCGGCGGCGTCTAGAACAATGCGCATTTTATTCGTGGGGAAATGATAACGCATAACAGTCCAGTGGGATAGATGTGATGCTGACACAGGCTGCGGATGAATACAGCACAGAGTTGGTGCCAAACTTGCTATCCACCTCAGACAGCTCATAGGTTAGATGTATGAATTCCGAAGTTACTCTGTGGGGATCGGAGGGTAGGACAGGCGCTGTCTGAATGGAAAATTAGGAAGCATTGTGCGCAGGATAGTACAACCAGCGGCGTTGAAAGTTAAGACAACTGCAGGCACTTAGTGAACATTTTTAATAAGTTAACAGCCGGGAAGAAACTTCAATGCAAAAGAAATCCACGCTTAGCCAAAGCATGCGTTTTCTCAGACGCCTTCTTGTCCGAGGTTAATACTGCTTGGTGGTTTATCTGTAAAGTGAGAATTTTGTGCACGCATTTCGATTCAGTAACGCTAGAGTGAAGAGCTCAAAATATAAGCAACAAGTACATTGGTTTCGCAAATTTATAAACACCAGTATTTCTTACAAAATGCTGTTAATCGTTTGAAAGACAGTGAGGATAAATCAACAAAAGTTACAACACCGAATAATTTGTCCATGACTCCAAGATACATGAAAGTATGGAAATAGCCACACAGATCCGATTCGAAAAAAAGTAATAACTTTCGACAGTGGCATGGTTTTCAAGGTGAAACATCATTTATCGGATGTTTGAATTTTGACTGGGTTAGGCACAAGTGAAATTTAAACGCTTGGTTTGAAGGATGGATTAACGAAGCGGCCGAAGAAGAAGAAGAGGAATAAGTCTTACTCGTCTTCACTCCTAATCCCATTTTGGCACTTTTGGGAAGATTGTGTTTTGACTGAGGAAGGATTCATGTTGCAGCAGGAAAAGTTCACAGTGTTCCAATTCAACAGTCCGCATGTGCAGGTTTGAAGATATTACTTAACAGATTATGATTATAATCCGGCAGCCCTGATATGCTGCTAATTTACAGACGAAAACTTGCTGCACGATGGTTTCCGTCTTCTTGGTCTCATAAAATTTGGAAAATCCCATATGAAACTGTGGGTTTTTGGCATCATATGGTTGACTTGATTCCGATGCCATCAGTGAGTGATATTCTGACAAAATAAAGATTGTGTGGAATAGCATACGTAGTTAAATTTCCGGTTTTCTTTTGAGCGTTCAAATATATTTAGTGCATTGATCCAATCATAAATTTGTACTTATCACTACACTTCGTCCACAGATAAGTCGGGGGCCATCACAAAAGAATTATTATGAAAAAAACGTAGATAATAGCTTCACGAATATGTTTGGATGGATAATATTACACCAGCTTTGATGAGTGTCACACATTAGATAAAACGCAAGCTCAGATTGAAATGCGCTACATATGGAGGCTCGTGCTTGCACACTGCTCATGCTCAATATCTAAGTATATTTGCTAGGTCATATTTGTCGAAGCATAAAGCTTTATCAGTCCAGTTTTATCAGTCCCTTGTAGCGACTGAAGTTAATGTTGACCTGCAAAAACGACACCTTGGATAACCTCTAATTAGGTCACAAAAGCTTAACCACACTTGCCGTAGTCCCGTTTTCCGAATGTCCTATAAATGCCAAACTCCACCTAGATATATTAATACAAAAGCGTAGTTTCCAGATTAATTATGAAAGGGGGAAAACATCGAGTCAAATGGCACTTTTGCTACTTGTATGAAAATATATTCTTATGTACCAGACTGAAATGGTTATCAGGCTTAACTTACTAATTGGGTAGATAGCATTTGCCAGCGAATCCCTGTAAATTGCAACGTCCAAACTCCCAGTGTTAACTCTGTATTTCTTCTGTTTTCTATTCTAATTGTTACGAAGCATGCATAGCTCCATGAAACTTGCGCAGATTTCGCCGGGCTCATTTCCGACACAGAAGCGCCATGCGGCGACTCAGACTGTGCTAATAACAATCGAACCATCCCCAGGACATAGACGCCAAGCGACAAAGAACCAACTTAGCTATAATGAGGACCCTTATGCCTTTATTTTGTTGGGGCGTAGCGAACCACCTGAACTCCAAATTTGTTGCGGCACTGAGCACAGAAACCCACACTGACAATAACAGAGATTCCGTAAGAATACCACTACCAAGTGCCTTGTCAAGAATCGCCTTTCGCTAGAGTTTATGCATTACTCTGCGATTCAACTGAGTTCTCAAAATGAAGGTGTAGAAGTCATACTCCGCTTTTGGTGAGTCAGTTAACAACTCTTGCTAACATTCAGGCTTTTTTTTCTCCGCGTATCAGTGCAATTGTGCTAGGTTACTCGAGATTCACCCCAGTCTCATCTCACTTGTACGTCTGGCGGCTACATCTCTTTAGCTTGCAATGTTAATGAATTGTATTGGCCAATCTGCAAGCATGCATTTACTAGTTGTAAAGAATGTTTGCCCCGAATAAGAGTCGCAACAACTAAGAACACCTTTAACACAAATCTGCATACATTGCTAGTTCCTCGCAGCAGATTCCAAAGCAGATTGTCCTCGACAAGCGCAGGAAAGCTCTAGACGGCAATTTCGATCTGTTGGGTCTCATCAGTAGTTTGCAATCACCATCAGGACGCGAACCCATGACAACTAGTGGTTTGCCCAGCCAGCCATCAATGGGAGACAGTGGTGGAACATCGTGGGTTAGAAGCTAACTACGATATAGCTTGTCATATCCTCCGTTGCATTTCATCTTCAAAGTAGAAGCAAGTCAATTCTGAGGAGCAGACCACATAAATGCATGTCATCGAGGAACATAGCATGGAAAGCCCACAAGAACTACCCGAATTCCGAAACCTGGACTGCCTATGTAACGCAGTGTAACTTCTGTGTGATTTTGATTCGCGACGACAAGGTGCCTCATCAGCAGGAGTTAATGAAGAGCTTCTGCAAGCATCGCAAAAACTCATGTATGCATGTTAATGGCCCTCTTAAGGTGCCATGCGAAATTCCAGCACTGATCACTTATGACGGATGCAGGTGATCAGCAACGGAAGCAGCCGATCTCGTACGGTTCCATTATTCATGAGCGTTCCAGTGAGGAACGAGCTTAACGGCTATCCCTATTTCTACTGTCCCGCCGTCAAGTTTATCTAAAATCACTTCTACTGCAGAAAGTGTGACAGAGAAACTGTTGTCCCTGCGTATCCACAATCCGCTTGTGTGGATAACATTCGACTGCAGACTTTACAGGTAGCGGCAGTGATCTGGCGGAATCTCTGGCTATATTCTATCAGCGCTGTATGGAGGAGAGCCATATTCCAACAATTTGAAGGCGAGGGGTCATCACTGCTATTAATAAGGGAGGTAGTCGCCCTGACCCAACTAATTACCGTCCTATAACGTTACTTCCTGTGTTTTCCAAGATTATGGAGACTGTCATCGCTGATGCGCTCATGCAGTATCAGGAAAATCCCAACATGATGGCACCAGAGCAGCATGGTTTCCGACAAAGGCACACATGCACTACGAACTTGCTAATTGCAAGCAATAGCTAGAATGAATCAGTTGATTTTGGAGCAGTAGTCGATGTCATGTACCTGAGCGTCTCAAAAACGTCTGATCGCTTAAGCTACCGACTTCTCTTCCAGAAACTTCAGTTCTATGGCCTTTGTGATCCACTGCTGTGTTGGATAGGCAATTTCGTGCACGAACGTCGGTTGGAAGTGAGAATTCGAGAGTCCCTGCCCTACGCAAATGCGGTGGAGTGCGGAGTATCACACGACTCGGTGCTCGGACACCGTCTATTCTAGATTTTCTTAAGCGATCTTGCGAGGAAAATGACCCGATTTCCTATTCTTCGCCGATGATATCAAATTATGACAAGCGATCAGAGAACCGATGGACCACGAAAAGTTCCGGCGTGACCTTAACACCATTTCAAACTGGTCAGTCCTAAATACGCTACTGTTCAAAGTGGAAAAATGTCACGCTGTTCCATTGCGCCATAGCCATGACTCCCTGTGTCGGCTATGGTCACATGTAGTGTAAGCAACTTCCCAAGAACACTACCTTGTTGTGCTCATTCAAAGTGACCTTAGATTTCCAAAACAGTCAAAAGCGGCTGCGAAGAGTGCCAACCAGCACTTTGGTTTGCTGCAGAGCGCATTCGGATGATTTGACCCATTCATCTTCTCCATGATTCACAACGCTTACTAGTGCCCTCAGGTTGAATACGCCATCCAAACTTGGCAACCTTGATTGAAGCGTCACTTAGAAGTGCTAGAGGAATGACAACGCAAGGCTACAAAGTACCTCAAAGGCCTACGAAATCTGTCCTACCATCAAAGGCCGAAGTCACCTTGAGTCTTCAGTGGCCGCTACCGAAGGCTGCACGGCGATCTCATATTAGTCTACCAAATAGTATGTGACCCTAATCACGTATGTCGTCACTTGCGGAAACTCAGCCATAACACCAAGCTCAGAGGCAACCCTCCGAAATTGTGCGCACAGTTTAGCCGCCTGGAATGCCGGAGGAATTATGGTTCGCTTCGAATTTGCCAACTCTGGAACTCTCTCTCAAACATAGTTGTTTCCTCCCCTACCTTGGATAATTTCCAAAAAGACGATTGGATGTTGCTTTTGGCCTCCATCACTTCGTTGCCTAAACTGTGCAACTTTGGAATATATTAATTATCCCTCCAAACCGGATTAGCATGTTACGTAAACCTGAGGATACGGGACAGAAGTGAGTATTCTTGTTTTTACTTTTCACACGTAATACATCAACTATAACTGTCCCCAGGTTGCCACGTCGTTTACATTCAATTCCCACATACACTACTATTATTCAGCGGGGTGTCTGCTAGCTAAGCGCTCAAAAAGACAACTTACCAATATTTTGATAATTATAGTAGTACCCCCACCATCCTGCGTGATTTGTCAAGCAACTACCTTTATATGCGGCATAAATCATTGTCCTTGTTTCATTGTCCCCGTATTTCTCCAACTATCGTTCTCTTCCTAGACACCCTTGTATGGACCGAATCCTGTCCCCCTATCGTTGACATTTCTAATAGCAACGGACCTTTTTGCCACTTTTGCTGGTTAGTCATGCATTTCCAATCTTTTATCTTAATTCCTTGTGTAGCACATTCTGGCCAATAAAGTTCATTACACATGTACAACCACTTTCCAAGTTTTGATTTGAACAAACGATTTACTCTCTTAGTGTACAATTGATGCTTTGATTTTATCAATAGAAAACTACGTGGTTTTAACAGAATGTCAAATTAGAAATATGGGCTGGTTCCAGGTACTCTGCACCGCATCGACGCAAATGAGTAAAATCCATAGGCGCCTGCTCGTGACAGCTGTAGTTATGGCAACCAAATGACTGTAATGGACAGAAATGTGCGGACAAAAAGCAAGCCGGCCGCGATTTATCTTATTAGTGTGCTATAACCTAATCATCTGATCTCAAACAAACGAGCATGCAGCGGTGAGTGGTCATTGCTCATCCATTCCCGCCCTTTTCAACAAGCGTTCAGGGCTCCCGCTTGTTTCCTATGCCTACGCTGTCCCTGGTCCTTGAAGCGTCGTGAACTACACACTCCTACGCCGCAACAAGTTTAAGAGCACGTAAGTCACAAACCCAGTTGAACTAAAAAACAGTACACCGGCACAGCTACTGATGCCTCGCTGCCACACGATCACCACACGTCGTACTGGTTGGGTATAAGAATAATAATAACAATACGTATATATCTCCTGATGCAAGAAACTGTGCCTGTGCGACGCAGATAATTTTCTAAAGAAATATTCATTCTCTTGCATCGGTGACGTGTATAGAAGGAATATTGGGGTGTGCGTTTTATGTAGTAAGCTTCTGATGGATGGTTAAGGCAAATGGCTAGTTTTGAAAGCATTGGTGTGTAGATGTTTTTGGGCCCTCTTGAAAAAGCTCATCGACGGGTTTTTCCCATGTGAATATAGAGATTATGATAGTTAGATCAACGTAACTGAACAGTCTGCTTCTAAATGTTGCCACATTATCACATGACCTGAGTGTTATTGGTAGTTCATTCCACAGATAGCTATATATGACAAGGAAGCAATTATAGCGGAGTTTCGTTCTATCCTTCGGTATATTCAGTGTAAAATCTTTTTTCCGAACAGCTCGAGTTCAACAATGTTGCAATTCTAGTGTAGGTAGGTTGGAATAGGTCATTTTGTGAAGTATTTGAAAAACAGCAAGAAGTTCTACTTCAATCGTCGAATCCAGAGTGCTTCGAGTTGAAGTTTATTGCAATGATCTCGATAATTCAGATCAGTGTGTTTACCAACCAACTGTTTAGTAGATGACTTCTGCATGTGCTCCACAGGAATTCCGGCACTCTTTCGCTCTCTTTCTCAATTAGGTCACCTTCACATACGCCGATTCGAGCCAGTGACCTCCGAGATTACAAGGCAGGGGTTCACTCCTTTCAGCCATCGGCTGATCCCATTGAGCTAAACCGAACATCAGTATGTACAATATCTGTGCACATTAGCATGCCCGACATTTAGTTGCATTCTCGGACCTGGCCGTTTCTGGATGAATGCTAAAACGCCATCCGCCACCATTGGAACATATCGATACACGAGGATAGCGCACTTATATCTGTCATTTCCAACCTAAGGTGCCGCAATCTGTGTGTTTAAAAAGTGGAAACAGCCACTGATATCATCAGTTTGGTAGCTACACGTTACATTTCCGATTGTAAACAAGAATCTGAAAGGATGAGTGAGTGTTTTGGCAATGCTGAGAAAGGTAAGCAACAGTGAGCAACGGACCCGAATTTCCGTCAATCTTATGAATCTCAGTTTAGGTTACTCCGATCAGCTTTAGTCACTAAGTGTCAATGTGAACTAAGCCTGCCCAAGACCCAGTGGTTTTCCTATTACCTTCAACTCTATTTTCACTGGGAACTGGAATCAAAGTTATACATTTTTGCAACGTTGATAACAGTATTGCTTACAACTGTGTTACCTTTAACCACCATTAGATTTACCCGACTCTTGTGAGTAGCTTTCTTAATCGACAATTAATCATTCAAACTAACCCTGGTTACGACGTTGGATGGTAGGGACAGCTCCCTATTTGCCGCAACCTCTGGTGTCCATCCAGGAGCTGTTTGATAACTATATTCGTTCTCCACTTACGATGGTCCCCTATCTGTCTCGGAAGCAGGTGAGTTGCTGATCTATGCAGGTCACATAATCCTGGGCATCAGTCATCATGACGAAGTCCCTTCGACAAAGCTAGGGCGTCGTTCGTTTAAAATCGCATGCACTAACTGAAATCTTGGGGTTCGCTACTTAAAACATTCTAACGCAATGACATCCTGTTGTCACTGCATAAGGCAGGTCGTCATCAGCCTCTTACCAAGAATTTTCTCCACCTTCACCTGCATGGTGAAATCATGAGCGTCTTCATTTGAGTGAAGTACTTGCGAATCACAAAGAACCATGAAACATGGTGGGCCCTACAAACCAAAGAAATATTTACCAGAGTCGGGTGATCGTCCCTTTGTCGATTGGCTCTAAAAAGCTGTTTATAAGGTTAATCACTGCATTTATTCCTTAAAAGTAGAATAAAGGTTCACCAGTGTTTTTACCGAACTGCTGGGTAAGCACTTCAAACCACTGGACTGGTCAATGAAAGGTTTAGCTGGTCGTAGTGGCCTTTTGTTGCCAGCTTGAGCTTGAACAAACATACGTACACATGAAAACTCCTGCAAACTGCTTGCTCCGAAAATGCTCACCGATATTAGTTACCATTTGTATAGCACAATATCTAGTCCCTCCCCTGAGTAAATTGCGAATCAATATATGCCGGCAAACTGGACTAAAAGAAGTCCAATTCGCTTGTAGCGAAATTTCTGTGTGCGTCGAACCACACCAACAAAATGTCAGCTAGCATTTTTACCTTTGAGTTCGTATGTACACAGAGTTCGTTACTGATGCTGTTTCATTCCACACATCTCATTATTGCTTCCACAGTAGTTGTGCGTTTTACCTGCATCTTCACTCTTCATCGGAGCGAGGAGCATATGCTTGTTTTGACTTGGTATGACTTGAATTGAACACATCGTACTAAAACCTACTACGTCTGTGAGCGATACCAAGCCCCGTTTCGAGATGTAAACCGACAACATAAATTAACGGATCATCGATTATACATCGATTTTCAAGAGTATATCGAGAAGAGAATTTTTATTCTGTTAACCGCATTTGAAACTCAAGCCACATGCGTGGGTTTTCAATGCGGAACCACGGACAGCGTGTGACAACTCTGCAGCTTGCGCTTAGGAGAATAGTCGCTCATATCAGTACGCTCCACATTTGGATGATCCTGTCTAAATTGCTGTTGAAGACATTAAGATAATTTCTGATACTGACAGGCTGCCTCAAACTATTTCAACCATCTTCCTTGAATATTGTGGGCACTTTGAATAGCACTGTCAGGTACGTGGATGACACTTTGTTTAACATACCCCCACAATGTTCTGATTGGCTATTCTGGCGCTAGCAGATCAATAACCCTGCAGTTAATATTTTATACCATGTGCCAATTCAGTCAGGTTCACTTAGCGGTAGTCCAATGAAAGCTGCTACTTGCTGCTGTTCTTCCCTCCCTGCTTGTGATCTGCAGAAAAGTTTTGCTTGCTCATGAAACCACCTAATAGGTATTGAACGGCACTGCATGATAACTGAAAAGAAAATCTGCTCAGTGTGCGTCAGACAAGTACTAAACTAGGTCCTGCACATCAGTATGTGATGTCACGCTAGAACCAAACCGCTGTTGCGTAATAAAGCTTCACATTCTGTGCGTGGAAAGAAGTCTACGAACAGTGGGCAGTATTTTGGTAAAAAGATTGTTATTTAAATTTTCATAATTTGGAGCCACTCATGCAATGCTTCCATTAAATAGAATAAAATACATTCAGATCTCATCCCTATTATAACCGAAAATACATGAAATAAACTCACTGAATTTATGAAGTGGATGATTTCACCCGCTGTTTCACAGAAAGTGAGCTCACATCGGTTTGTGCTGGTCCAGCCTGACACGAAAGTATTTCATTGCGTCATCCCCATATCCATTCACATCCGCAGACCCCTTCAAGGGGGACTGAGCACATTGTCCGTTGGATATGATGGTTCCATGTGGGTGCTATTTAGAAGCCACATACACGCAAAATAGGAGGGATAAATGAAAGCCGGCAGGTGGACAGTGTCAAACTGATCAATGTAAACCGTCCAACAATGCCTACTTTAGAAATTGATTATGAAGAACCTACTATGCTATAAAACACCTACTGGCAAGACCAAGTTCCTGGTGGGGAATTTAACGTACACCTCCAAGAAAATCCGACCATTATCGACGATCAATTAAATGTGGAATCGCAAGAGCTAGTCGCTGTACAACCAAGTCACTCCTCCTGCGAGTTGAAGGATAGGAAACAAACCGACCACATCGGACCACAGTTTCGTCAACGAGGAACTTAGGGTCGACGTGGTAACAAGGGGCAATCCATTGATACTGCAGCGATCATGCGACACTAGTGCTCTGCTAAATGTGCTACGTAGAACATCTTAATGGTAGCAGTTTAATATCTCACGTTGTGACCAATTGTGATAATCTGTCCGAAGTCATTGGCCCAACCAGCTGGTCTTTCCTAGCCAGCTGATCTCCTGAGATGGTCTAGGGGTAATTGCCAACAGATTCAACAGATAGAAAAAACATCAGAAAACGAAATCCACCACTCGAGAAAGATGAAGTCGTCCCTGAAGTGTAGGGCTCGGAAATGAATGGTACCGTTGGACTTGGCTTGTCGTGCCCTCATCGACTCTCTGAACAAGGATACCCCGTCTGTCTATGCGGTACAAAAGGACCACTGCGTCAAAAACGTCAAGCAGGATAGACTAAAGTACCAATAATACCGTGTGCAAAGAATTGTTCCCTACCCCAACTTGCTCTACAGTCACGTGAACAAACTTCCTAGAGTCAAACACGGACCTTCGGCTCTGCGCATAACATGTGAGCTTGTGCAAACGGGCACAGTGAGGCAGTCAGCATTCTCGGGCAAAAAAGGAGCTGAACTTTCAACGTATACCGTAAGTTATGTCCTCTTAACTAGACCACACCACCACAAAACGTAGTCCCACCTTATAAAACTATCGATCAGTAGGATCAGGTATGAGATGCATAAATTGTGTGCATGTAATTGAGCACTCTTGCTTTTACGTGGTATCAGTTGATTTCATCATAATTACACTGGGTGAGATAGGCATCATGCATGTGGCGATACACTGGACCGGGGTCCTTACGTTGTAGAAAGCGTCAACAGTGCGTCCGAACAAGTGAAGTTGCCTCCTCTTTCAGTGGCACGCATCATGGCGTCACGTGATATGGCTGGGAACTTGCAATCATACGTTACAATATAGCACGTCTCCTTTCTTGAACGCTTAGGTTCGTTATACCTCAACTCTTGCATTTTATAACCCACGATTGTATTGTTGTTAACGGTCGGTAAAAGTGGTCGACCCGGAAATCAAAGCGAGGACGTGAACGTGTCCTATAGACTATTATAAACGCAAAACGTGCAGTTTCGCGGCAGTGGTGGTCAGAAAAATTAGTGACCAAACCCAGGCTCATTTGGATGCACTTGTTACGGTAATGTACTCAGACATTTAATCTCAAAACTTGCCGCTTTTTAGGACGCGAATCTGTTCCCGCGCAATCATAATACCGCGAAATATGTGCAGAGATCACCCGATCATGCCTCAGCAATAATTCCGTCGCACGAATATTGCACATGCAACAGCTAAGCTTTCCTCCTGAATGCAACTGTTATGTCTCAATCCAAACTCCATAAATTCTACTTAAATTTGCCCAGGGAGACGCTGTGGCATATACCCGTCTCAAGCCACACGGGACTCGAACCAGATCTCCATAGGATACTGTCAATAGGTAGCAGCTAATTTACTACACTGACACACAGGTCTCGCTAAAGTTTCGACAGCACGCTCCTACGTTATTTGCTTATAATTAGGAAGATGCGGAAGGCACACTTGCCTTTGGCTAATTCGGTCCATTAACTAGTACTATGGACCAGTCTTTCTTTTCCGGGTCTCCAGCACAGTCGCCTGGAGTTACATGTTTCTTCTCCAGTCTCAGCTCGCTTATTCATAAGTCTGGAGACTTAATCACTCAAGCCCTAAAGATACGGATACAATCATGAAAAATTGGAACAACGGTCAATAGACAAAGATATCACAGTCTGCTAAAACTAAATCAGACCGTGCTTTCAATTGGTCCGAGACGAATTTGCTTCCGTTCATCAAATGCTGGTGCAAAAAGTTATACGTACGTCACAAACCCATGAAAGCATATATGCTTGGAGACCACATGTTAAAACTACCTCACAGGAGCGCGAACTTGAGGTTATGATGCAAGACGATTTGGGCTGTTTTGAGCTAACATGTTGGTCTCTTACGGAGAGTTTTCGGATGGTTCGAGTGCTCCACCTTTCTTCAAATGCCAAATGCGTATGTGAAGCCCAATACAAAGTAGGCCATTCAGGCCTGGTAACTCCAGTTGAAACGCGATCTGCCTGCACTGGAGACCCCACAGCGAAGCGCAACCAAAAAGATGAATGCGTTGTTCTACCTGCCTTCCTAACAACGGTTGAAATCCCAAGGAATGTCCAGCGGAATTTACCACCGTCCAGGAGGTTAGCTCATTCTTGCGTACCAGATCTTGAAAAACTCCGGTTACGCTTGCCGCCACCTCCTGAAACTTAGCCGTAACAAATAATTTAGGGATCAACCACTAAAACTGTCCACCAATAAGTCGGCTGGAATGACATCGGCATAACGGTTCCAGAATTTGTCGGCCGTGAAACGGTCTTTCGACGTTTCGCTTTTTTGTGCGCACGATATCCATTTTTACAAAGGACTGATCAATGCATGTCTTCGTCTGCATTATCTGCACTCTTATCATCAAGTGACGAGGAGATGCAGACGAGCACTGTGCTCAGCAACCCCAACGAAACCGCGGTAAACGGATTTACTTTTGTGTTAACGTGGACGTTGTGTTGAGTCCACATATACTCTTGTCATTGTATTGCCAATCTTGTTGAACTCAAGTAATCCACCCAAACTATTCCTCGGGCCCTGTCAAGTTTTGGCTTATTTCACATGTATTATACGAGTTTTCTATTTTTCCATTGTAAAGACGTACTAAAGTGAATGATATCATTGTGTGAGTTCAGCTTCCCTGATGCAGATGGTATTCGCCCAAAGGCTTGGAGATTAGTTGCCGTGAGTTTAGCTAAAACGTTAACATGATTCTTCTAACGATGTCTAAACGAGACGCAGGCTCCCAGGATGTGGAAGCACTGGCTCATCCCCCATTTGTAAAAATGGCGGCCGTGCAGAACCAGCGAATTATCGACCGAAAAGCTACATCCGATGCTGTGCAAGATCATGGGCTGTACTGTCACTGAAGCAACCATAGGGTACCTGGACAGTCGTGAAATTCTCGCTGTAGATTTACTCAGATTTCACAAAAATCGCTCGCACGAAACGCTCTTCGCTACTAATAGATTGATAGATCGGGCATGCTGGACGGAATCTGATGATGCTGGTTCAGGAGTAGATGTCACGTTTCTTGCTTTCACAGACATTTGCTCTTCCGGATCATTATCTGGATCATCATCACACTACGAAAGCATGGAATCTGCGGTACCATTCTGTGTTGGACAAGTAACATTTTTGTTCAATGTCATCCGAATGTGTGGGTTCGTAGCATCCTATCAGATTTAATTACAGGAATTGCGGCACATCCCAAGTTTCGGTGCTCAGACCACGCCTGTTCTTGGTGTTCTTAAATGACCGCGTTGGTGCTCACATTAAAATTTCTACTATTTGCTGGTGATCTAAAAATATGCTGCGCTACCACTACAATGAAGAATACACAGCCCTGCAAGTTGATCTGGGTAATGCATGCATATGGTCCGCCAAGAATATGTTTCAGTTCAATGCCGTCAAGCGTAAATTTCCGATCATACGTCACCACAGTACTGACGGCCACAGGCGTGGACCACAAATTATACAGTGCACTTCACGTGAGTGTGCACACGTCTTGATCGTGCAAGACGACGTTAGCAGAGGAAGGCCAAATAGGATACGAAGAAAGCAAAGGGGCACTTCCGTTCTGCTTGAGGCATCCGGAAAGTTTGAGCTCACCTTCCCTCCGCAACTGCTTGGCGCGCATGCGACGCCGCTACCCAGGCGTGGCACAGCCCGACAAATAATATTAAAGCTATGTCTCATCCGCACGGCACACCAAGGCCGTAAAAGTCAAAATTATACAGCAGACATTATAGGCGTCCAAATGCAGATTTCCTAATGGTATCGCGAATCATAAGAAACCCGACAACATTAACCACCTTCTTTTGAAACTCAGCCACGAGAGATTTTTAAGAGGCCATCCGTTTGAGTCAACCACATGATACAGCGAAGTGGAATGCCATGGAAACGTTTGTTCCCTTCGAGTGTCACAGCCTAGGAACGCCTCCCTCCGGCGCATATATGGTTACCCTATAATTTTCACCCTAACCATTTACTTTTACCAGGTATAAAGCACTGCTCCAGAACCTTGTTTATTGTTGATTCAGCATGTGTGATATTTATTAATACTTCAGGATGTCCGCTGGATAATATTATGTAAGGTACATTACTCTAGACATCAATTTTCAAGAATATCGTCAATAACTAATTTACGAGCAGCATTTTTATAACATAATTGTGCTCTCTGTTGTTCTGACGCAAACATGAGTCGATAGGTTGTTTACCTTTGTCGTGCATTTTTTCTTACTCTGATGTATCAACGCCTCCATGGAAAGGAAGCAGTATGATCAATATACCCTTAATACACGTCCACTGACTTATGATGCGTTCTGTTCGGCCTCCTGCTGCTAGTGTACTGGACGACGGCACTGCTGTGCAGCGTCGATAGAACCCATTTTGCCATAACTATTAACCGATCTACCAATCTCCTTGCTTTTGGATCATTGTATGTTACATATTAACCCATCACAGTTCAAACAAATCCCAAACCCAGCATACGTACATCAAGCTAGAAGGAACCTGGCCTAAAAGAAGCGAAAGTAGACGGTTTAGTTATTGGTATAGGTTTAGTTATTCAGTTATTTATTTCTTAATATACTATTACCATTCATCTTATACAAAGTGTAACCTGAAAAGCATGCCAATAGTTCGCCTCGAGCTACCAGTGAAATTTCTGTTTAATTAAAAGCTATACCTGGAGTACTCGCCTCGTGGTTAGATTGGAACACGCAATCTCTAATGGGCATTGGATCACTCTGAAGTACAGCGCGGTCATGTCGATTTCAAGGATCGTATCTATTATGCACCTGTTTCGGGGTTGATGCGCCCAACGCTGAGAATCCACGACCGGAGTTTTTGTCATCGTTTGGACTCATCAGGTGGAGATAGCCTGAACTGGGGTGGAGCTCAGGGCCTAGTGGTTGATGGCTGATACTTTGACCACTATGGCTCTAAGATCCTTCAGCAACACTTGGCACAGCGGTACGCAGTTCGAAGTTTTATTTGAAGTACCCACCGTGTGGTCGGATTATGACACGTAGTCTCTATGGAGGCCTCCGTATATTATGAACTAGACTTCGGCCTTTTCGACCACAGGAACCGTATCCGAAATGCAGGTGTTCCGGTGATGCTGCTCCCGAAACTAACCGTAATTACCAAGGTCAACATCAAAGTTAACCGAGGTATCAAGAGAGGTACCTTGCCGCAATTCAACCACACGGCGGGTACTTCAGATCCAACTTTGAATTCCTTACTGCTGTGCCAAGCGTTGCTCGCAGTTCTCAATTGGGTAATAATCAAGACGTCAACTACCAACTAGTACGCTCTGAGTTCTACCCCGGCTCAGGTTATCTCTACCTGATGAGTCCAAACGACAACGAAACCGTCGGTCTTGGGCTGTGTTGAGAAGAGCAACACCGAAACACCTCCATTCTGCTCATTTACTTTGACCGCCTTGAGCGAAATTAACAAAAGGGCTCAGACAACTCATATTTCCCATCCTCCTACTTAAGTGGTTTTGGAAGCAATTCTGGCACACATGATCTCGGCTATAGAACCACTAGTCTTTGTATCCACACTTAGAAGTAAATGATGTCGCCTCATACTTTTCTAGTACACAATTTTCAACCCTATGTTAGGTGGCTGCATGAAGTGTACGCACCTGATGACACCCAGATATGGAGCACCTGATCAAGAATCATAATGCATCTTTTAGAGTCCAAGCCACCGACACAAGCGTGGTTTAATTTTTGTGTTAATAACACCTTGCATTATCTTGACTTAATTCTTCTCCATCAGGGAACAGTGTTAATGCTTTTATATAAACATCGCCGTGGATAGCATTAATTTGAATTTAAGTCATATGCAACCGGCTCGGATACGGTTGAATTAAGTGGTTTGCTAAACTTTATCCCATATCACACCAACAAAGTATATTTCGTTTTTTGCTACATTAGAACTTCTTGCTTTGACACAAGACGTCCGTTCTTCAGTAAGAAAAACGACAAAAATAAACGACTCAAAATATCTGGCTTTTCTATCAATTTTCTGGGCTTGCTGTTTATCCGATCAGGGGCATAAGGCAGCAAGCATGCTATTTTACCACTATCGTATATTCTTGTGATTAGAATAAGCAGAGTGGCCGAATTCAGACCAATTCGCCGACTGAGTCTTATTTTTTGTAGTTTTGCGAAAATAGTGGCAAGGTCTGAATAAACTGAATGGAAATCACTGTTGCCCACATTGTAACAGATCGAGACACACCAGAGACGGTAGCTCACATGAGGTATGGTCACCCAACGCGATTGTTCCGTGCTGACGAGGCCATCTGTCTGCTGTGATCGCCTTTCCGGTCGGCTGCATGGGACGTGATACCATATGGCGCCATCGTAACGTGAAGGCCATGCGTGGGTGCGTAATTTACCTCCGCCGGTACGCGTGGTCTCTCGTGTGCTGGGCTGAAATGAGGACCGGCTCGGATGCAGAGCAGGCCATGTCTCAGGTGCAAGTTGCTCTTGGGAGTACTTCGCTCGAGCGGGTAAACCCACACACGGAATAAACGGTTCGTAGACAAGCCGCGTTTTGGGAAGGTGCTGTGCCGAGCTCGAGCTCTGTGATTCGTAAGGAGGAAAATTTTTACCGTTCTGATGATTGTCAAGGTAAAGCAGAAATATTGTTTTGTGAAGATATGTCGCGTGAGTCAGTTGTGTAAAGTCGTAATGCCACTACCGGCGTTTATGACAACTAGTGTGCCTAGACCTCCACATGCAAACTGGTAAAATTATACCAGCTGGGTCAGTAGGAATATGCATGTAATAAACAAATTGTATGCGCCTCTTCTATAGTAGTTTAGCGTGCTTATGGTATTATTTGATTCCATCGCGAATAGACTGGGACTGACGGGCATCATACATTCGAAGATCAGTTGAATGACCATGCTGAGGTTATATGAACCGCCATGTTTCTGTCTTCTGCAGCTTTTTACTAAACTACACGTTGCAGTACCGCGCGTCGCACTCCTTAAACAAGTCGGTTCTACCTGCCACTATTTCGACACAATCTAATCCGCGGTGTGCTTCTGAATGGTCTTCATGTAATGATGTTCGAACGTCAGGGTGTCTGGTTGATGGCATTAAAATTGCAACATCGATTTCTGCTGCAGGTTTTGTTACGATTTTTAATGACCAAACCAATGGTCATTTGATCCACCCGTTGTGTTAATGGACCTTGACACACCATCCCAATACCCTCTTCGCTTTACTTGGAAGTGCGTCTGTTGCAGAACATTCTTGGTTCCGTGAAAGGAACGCGGAGATCGCCCGAGTGCGCCTCAGCAATAATGCCGCGAAACGTAGAATCGGACCGTGCCAGCAACAGTTAAGCCCTCCTCATAAAAGCAAATATTATGTGTAGACTCTAAATCCACAGACTTCACTTAATTTTGCCGAGATAGACGCTGTGGTATCTACTGTCTCTAGTCGTACCGGAATAGAATCAGATCTCCCTAAGAAACTGCCACTATGTGATCACTCATTCAATGCACCAACGCTGGCAATTGGCTGCAGTTTATACAGCGCGCCGATATGCTAGTTCGTTATAATTAGAGAGGTGTATAAGACCCGTCTACCTTCGGCTAATAAGGTAAATGAACGAACTTTGTTGGCCGGTGTTTATTTTCCTGGTTTTCGCGTTTCCTCTCCAGTCACAGCTGGCTTGTACCTAAAGCTGACGGCTTAAGCATTTCGGATGTAACAATCAGAACTCCACTGGCTACTCTGTGTGATGGACATTATCGTTGAAATTCTTTTCGTCCCACTCAGATACAAGTCGAACTAACTCAATTGTTTCAGTCAGCGTATAGGAAAAAACACCTTTTTTAAACTACCCGCCTGCAAAACTGCATTCTACGATCCGTTTTGTGCAGCAATGCACGTACCAAGCAACTCAAAACTGGGACGTTAGGGTATAATCTGAAGACTGTAGTCCTAAGCTACGGACTCGCTTAGGGTAAAGCACGTCAAGAAGGTGAATAAGAGGATAAAGCTGAAGCACCCGAGTCGTCAGTGGGAGGCGACATGCAATCTAAATTTGGACTTGGGATCATTTTGAAGCGATTTCATTAGGAAGTTATCCGAAACTGATAACTGGCAGTCTTTGACTTCAATCGCAACACCCTACAACAGGTTTCGAACGTGTTTGCACGCGCCAAAGATAAGTGAGAGAACTGCGAGTTGCTCTAGGGAGGTGACAATTTGCTCGCTGACGCCTTGTAATTCAAGGCCACTCGATGGTTAGCATGATTCTGGCTTGTCAGTTGTACAGGTTGTATGGGTGCGAATGAAGCGCGAGATACAAAGTCCATTGAGGCCATCGTTTATTTCTGCTTTGTGATTCTGTCAGTTAAATCATCGAAAGGGATGAATGTTCGATATCACATGTCTCCAGCTTTGGAATTCACATATGACATGATGTCCGCTTTCTATCCTACACTGCTCAAGACTAGTATGAGGACTCCGAAACTCGGCAGTTTGACGACACACCTCTTCGAACATCGAATGCCGGATTGCAAGAACGACGTTATACAATTACCTCACCAGTGCGTTTATTACTGGTAAAACATGAGAAGTGAATTTCAAGGGGAATGTCAATCAGTATTCCGAGTTCTAAGGAAGGCGTTTCAAACATGGCAAATAGTTACATTTACTCCGATGGCGCTGCTTTACTGAGTGTGTATGCCCAGTGCAAGACCACAATCATACAACACCGCAAGTGTTTCCCGATGGATACCTGTAGTGGTCAACATTTATGAGACATGGACAATGAGAGAATTGATACTTTGAACATACTCCCCCAATTCAAGTGTAAAGTATTGGGTTCAGGATAAGTTGCCGTTGGTGTTTTACAGTGCATATGTCTTAGTTAGTGTTTGCATAAAGAACCAATCGACGGCGCTGCACGAGCAACAAGTGGAGGCCCATTGTAGGCTATTGAATAAATTTCGGTACCTAGCAGATTGCAGTGAGTTCACCACTAAAATACCAAGGTTTAGGTCATTATTGCACACATCGGCATGCACTAGGAAGCTTCAATCCATTGATTTTTTAGCAGCTTCCAGCTGGCACGTAAATCCACACCTGGAATATTCCATACATCTATGGTAACCGTGGCCTAGGAGATACCTCAAGTTCAGGTATCCAAGTACGTCAGGTGCATGTAACATTTGTCCAATAAACCAATGCTGAGAGTACCCGGCATCTTTAACAAATGACGCTGTCGTTGACGTGGGGAAATTATGTTTACTTATCAACTTTTGCGGGACTCCAATCACCCGTGCCACCATCGGTTATGGCTAAGTCACGACTGCAAATTCACAGACCAACATCTCAGTCTGGCAGAGCAGTACAGTGCCTTGGAATGTCGTCGGAATTTCTTTTCCGTACGTGTTTGCTAAGCGTGGAATGCCGAAGGGGAATTTGTTAGCTCCGGCGCTGGTAGATTTCAAAGCCCGAGTTAACTGTGCCCTAGGTTAGCTACACCATCTCACATGACTCATTGCCCACGGCTAACAGCAAATATCTGTTAGAGATTTATATTACCGTCAGCTCCTAGATTATGTTCCACCTCCTATACGTGTTCTCCAGGAGGTGGCATGGTGTTTACAAACGCCGCATTTGTCGTCATTCCATATGGACTTAAAGTGGCTATGCAATTTTGTGAAGGGGTACTAACTTCCCGAAAAGACCTCAGACCTAACTAAGACTCGGTCTGCCACACAGGCAAGAAACATTTCCGGTCTATTCCCATCCATTACTGACATTCTGTCAAATCATTTTCGGTTATTGACCTATGACACTTTGCCACTACGTTCACTCTCCATTATCCACATCCATTTTCCATTAAAGGTCCAAGGCTCGCTTTGCTTAATTAGGTCTTTTAACCAGTCCAAGTTAAAATCTCATTTCACCAGGTGTTGTATCTAAGCAAGGACATTTCGCGTTGTAATCGCTTAGTCTAGCGAGTAAAGTACCTGTGGCGAAGGGTATGTCTTTTGTCCTCATTTCTGTGGGTGGGAGTCGTGTGTGAAGTCTGTGCTCTGTCTAGAAGAGCTTTCAAGTATGCCTATAGTACCGTGTTGTGCCCACGTCTCCCGGGTTATGCGAAATGGAATTTTGGTAACTACTTTCACTGCGGAATACCACTCAGTTGCACGTTCGTTTATCCCACTAGGATAATCGTACCAACTCATAATACACATCATCATCGTCATCGTTAAACAGGCTAACTGCACATGGAAAACACCTCAGCTATTTTGCCGTAATAAAAAAAACAAGAAGCAAAATACAACAGTAACACGCGGGCTGTGTCCCTAGTAACGGATGGACATCGTTCCCGAGAGCTAACAGCCGGCTATCGTGCCGCAAAAGGTGATTTACATTATTTGTAACGAATGAAACCGTGATTGGAAGGAAGGCTAAGCAGGAAGGGAATGGACAAACGAACCCACAACACAAACGCCATTGGGTCGGCTCCTAGCCATGTCAGCTAGTGTGCCCAGCCAAACGTGTTCATCGTCCTTAGGACCCCAGCTAGGCAATCTGGATGCACCAACCGACGCCAACTGCGACGTGAGAGATTTTATTTTTTCCAAAAATATCATTGCTTGGCCTCCCCTCTTCTTCTTCCAACCGAACCCCGGCGCGCAAACAACGCACTTCGCGTGAGTCGGGGTGCTGGCATGCGTAACACGTGGCCCAGCCATCGGAGCCTCGTAAGTGATATGATGCTGTTGAGCGGTTCACTAGCTCCTCCAGCACCAAATACGCGACCCCGGATACATTCCTTGGTCACGCGGTGCTCCCACCAGACAAGAGCTAAGCTGCGGAGGCAGCGATGATCGAACATGACCAGTTTCTTTATGCCTGTCGACCAGATGGGCCAGGTTTCGCAACCTTATAAGAGGATTGAACAGACGACCGCATTATAAACTCTGCCCTTCAGAGCGACAGTGATGTTGCGTCTGCGCCACAGGTGGCGGAGATTGGCAAAAGCACCTCGAGCTTTTGCTATACGGTTGGTAATCTCAGCTTAGATCCCACGGGTGCTAATATAGCTGCCAAGATACTTAAATTCCCGAGCTACTTCGAGCTGATCACCAACATGAGTCAGCCCATGGGTGAGTCCGTACCGATCTTGGAAAAGAACTTTAAATTTCGATGGAGCAAAACATAGTCCAAAACGATTGATAGCCAGTGCTAATCGGTCCAGTGCATCCTTGCACTTTTAGGCGCTGTCACATATGAGAGCAATGTCGTCTGCATAATCCAAGTCAAAAGTTGCTCACCAGGAAGTAGCTCCACACCTTCTAGGTCGTGTCCAGTGAACACTGTTTCCATGAGTCCATCGATAGCGAAGTTACAGAGGAAAGGCGGTAGCCAACAACCTTGTCTCACACCGTTGGAGATACTGAAGAGCGACGAAAGTTTGCCATAAACCCTCGCTCTACCCGAACTATGCGCGTACAGCGTTTTGATAATGTTTACGTATATCTCAGACACATCTTTCCTCAGCAGACTGTTTCAAAGATAACATCCCTCGACTGAAGCGAAGGCAA